TAAAATTGAAGGAAGTATTGAAACATGCAATAATATACAGGGGGTTTAATTAAAAAAAAAAATAAAGTTTGATGTAACACAGCTTTATGGCCGACCCTGTATATTTAAATTTACTAGTAGATAATAGGAATTTAAAAGCCCAGCAACCATTACAACAGTATCACAGTTTCGGCAGAATACCGTCATTAAATCAAACCAAACACTTAGGAATTAATTAAATCGAATTGTTTAAGTGATATATTCAAAAGTCAATATCTCGGAAACGGTTGCTTTGAAGTACATTGTGTGTATTTCGATTTTTGCTTAGAATTGAAGGAAGAATTGAAATATATAATAATATACAGGGTATTAAAAAATTCTATTTAAAAAAAGAAACTTTGATGTGCCACGACTTTATGAACGACCCTGTATACTTAAATTTATTACTCGATAATAGATATTTAAAAATCCTATAACTTTTGTATTTAACTTTTTGCGGTACCTCCTATATTTTACCTAATAATCGACCGTTTCCATACATATAAAAACGACACTGTATACCTTACATTAGCATAATTTTTAGTAGTTATTAGAGTTTCGAAAAGGATCAAGCGGTGTAGATTAAGTTTAGGGAGCGCCAGTGGTCTCAAAAGGTATAGCTAGAGCAACTTTGTTGAGCGGGGAAGCAGTAAGCGACAAAAAGAAATAAAAATTAATTCCGGTAAACGCGGATACAAGCAGATTAAGCCTTTTGAAGCAGACTGACTGACGCACTATGGCCACGCGCATACATCTATTTCTATTTTTCACAGCTAGTATGCCGCGATAAAGCGAGAAGTTGGAAGCTGGGGCACTATGGACGTACCCTAACGTCACCGTTATGTCGTCGTACCGCCAACGTCACGGGACATATTCTTCGAGTCCGCCGAGGCCGCCGGACTTAGCGCCTATGGATTTTTATCTTTACGGAAGAATAAGGGTTTTTATTTTTAAATTACAAGAATTAGAAGTACTTAGCGGTTATGCGAGGGTATCTTTCACCCCAACTGTTGATAATTCTTAAATTCTTAATTTAAGAAAAATATACTTAAACCATTAAATTCTAGAAAAGGTGCTTTGAAAATGTTTTCATTAAAATACAAAATTTTCCATAGCAAAAAGTTACAGCGATTTGTTAAAAATCCATATTTTTCAATAACACCCCGTAACTCCGAAACGGTAACAGATATGGATATATGCGGTTTTACCATCATGTTTTTGATAAAAATTGAGCCCCAAACACCGATATTAGTTTCTCCTATAGAAAAGGGTGTTTCCCGTGTCGAATTTGATTACTTAAAAGCGTCCAATTTGACCCACCCTGTACTTGACGACAAACTCAATTAAAAAACTAACATTTAGATTTGCATTAGAATTGTTTCATTATAATAAATATTCTACAAAATAACCCTCTAACACAGAATTTACACTTTTTAGGTGGCTATACTGGCTATGATTAATTTTTTTTCATGTAAGTTGTTGCATCCGAAATTGTTTGGTACGTTGTTTCATAAAATTTGAAGTTATCGTGTTTAATAACCTTTTACTGTCACAATATCCTATTGTTCGTTCCGAAAATTGACAGTTTTAACATTTTTCTGCTGCGCTGAATAGAGATTCATGTCATGTTTTATTGGAGAAACACTTATAAAAATAACTTCCTCGCCAAATATCCCGAAATTGCCCACTTCCCACTAAACTTGTTTTTAAAAACAAATGTTTTCAAAAAAAGTGAGGTTAAAAAACACACGATATCGTACAAAAGTTAAACAAAATTTATCTTTATACGACGTCGGATGATTAGTTAAAATTATCAGATAAAAATTGTTGTCAAAATATTTCGACCAATAGGAGCACCGTCGGATCGTCGTGTCATCGGATTTCGGATGCATGAGACTCCGGCTTAAGTTGTTTCATAAAAGTAAGTTGTTTCGTAAGTTGTTTCATAAAATATGAAATTATGAGGTTTAATAACCTTTTTACTTTAACAATACCTATTGTTAAAATATTATAATTAAAGTTCTAGAATACCTTGATTACTCAGCACTGAGTTTTTTCTTAACATTAATGAATACAGATATTAAGCCCCGTTTATACACAACGTTTACCTGTCAGGTTTGCGTGTCATGTAAAACGGAAGATCGTCTAGAAAACTGACGACAGTTCTCAAGAGGGTGTCCGTCTAAAGCCGGTCCCACACGATGTGTCAAACACCTTCCAACGTTGGACATATGAACATTTGCCACATAGTATAGGACATACACTTGTGTATTGGAATATTGTCGAAGCCTAAGCCAAATGACGCGTCCAACGTTGGTTCCAATGTTGGAACCATAGACTTAACATAAGTATAGACTTTCCAGCAACGTTGGTTCCAACCATAGGGTTGGAACCAACGTTGCTGGAAGCATCGTGTAGGACCAGTCCCGTTTACACATAAGGTTTTACCTGTCAGGTAAGACGGATTAAAAAGTTGCGTTTACACTGGAAGTTGAACATACAGTTTTAACAATTACAGTATTGTGTTTAGTGAAGTTGAAAAAGAAAAAAACATGGATTTTTTTACTACAAAATTGTATTTATTGTTTTTCTAAAAACTAATTGAAGAGTGGAAATACGAAAGGGGATAAGTGCTAAAATAATTATTTTTTCGAGGTAAATGGAAAAAACACAGTAGAACTGAAAACAATACATTTTTAAAATATCTTTTAAAATACATACTAATATAATATACATAAACTGTAGACGCTTTCGCTTGGCACTTGGAACTTCTGTTAAGATATGCAGCATGGTATATATTTATTACATTTCTAATGTAATAACTTAAAATAGAAAAATTTGGCACTTACCCCCTTCGGTATTTCCACTCTTCAATTGTGAAAATCGTATTGTTATGTAATAATAAATAAATACAAACAATTTATAATACAATAATAATATAGGTAAAATAAAAAAATCTCTAAACAATTTTGTAAAATTACATTATTTTGTGAAACTCTACAAAATATTACATTTTTTTTAAATTGTTTATTAAAGAGGCTGTAATATGTCAATATTATTTTTTGTAAATTTGCTTATATTTTTTAGTGTAGACAAATTTTGTTGTAAAACTGATGAACGATCTCGTCAGTTTTCTAGACGATATATATTCCGTTTTAATTCAGTTCAAGTAAAACGAACCGTTTTTTTCATCTACACGGAAGATTTTACTTGATACATTATGACTGAACGGGTCAGACTTGCAGGTAAAACGTTATATGTAGACGGTACTACCTATATTTGCTTTCGTGACAAATATAAGCTTTGTTCGGGTTCTTGTTATTACCGAAAAACCAGGAGTAAGCCTATAGCTTACTTCGGGTTTCTCTTATTACCGATTCTGAACCGTCCTAGAACTGTGATGCGTATGCGCAGAAGGAAATATGAAGACATTATTTCATTTGCGCATGTGCTGCAGGGTTCTAGGACGGTTCAGAATCGGTAATAATAGGTTTGTTTCAACCAGCATTTCGGGATCATTAGGTCTGTTCGTTTTCCTGTTATTATCGATTCTGAATTGTCCTAGAACTCTCCAGCGCATGCGCAAATGAAATGCTGTCTTCATATTTCCTTCTGCGCATACGCATCACAATTCTAGGACGATTCAGAATCGGTAATAACAGGAAAACGAAAAAAGCTATTTCGAAATCGTACTCGAATCGGTTTTCTTGCACTTTGTTAGCATGCGCGGACTTCGAATAGTTTCGTGACGGTGCAAAAAGTATCAACGTTGGAACGCTTTGTGGATTGTTTTCGAGACTGTCAAAAGTGTCAAGCGTGCGTGTATCGATCGGTTTTTTGTTTTTGTTTAGAATTTTTTGTTTAGAGTTTCATAACAAAAATAATAGGGTTATTATTTTTGTTTGCAATTTGCAATAATAATAATTATTATTCTTGAAATGGAGAATCGGAATCCAGTAATTGTTGGTAAGCGTTGTTTCAACTGTATACTCACTAACTCACTTATCTATCCTCTCTTTTATGATCCTGTTATTTAATTGCAGTGTTAGAATCTTTGAACATTATTTATAAATAAAAAAAAATTAATTAAAATTTCCGAATGATTTACTCCACACAAACTCACAAGCAAAAGTATAACGCACACGTATTCGAATTCGTAAAAAATAACCAAGCCAGAAGCATCAGCCGGACGCCGGACCAGAATCAGCTGTTAAAAATCGATAATCCCTGCCAATATGCTTTAATGCGCAAGTCAACCAAAACAGTTCTCAATTTGGACCATGTACCGAAATTACCGTTCTGAAATCGTAACTAAACGATCCCAAGGTAGGTGGTACGCAAATAGGATCGTTCGATAACCGTCAAATCTCGGTTGGAATACATTTGAATTATTGCGCACGAGCGTGATCGTTCGGTGACGGTTCTGCGGCGGGTTGGAACAAACCTAATAAGAACTCGAACACAGCTATAATCTTCCAGGTTTGTACAGAAATTAAATTTATTATATACAGGCTAGAAGAGTCTTAAATAAGGGCAAATATTTCTAAGGATAGTATATTTCGACCCCAGTAACACGTCTGAGGTTTTTTTTGCGATAAAATCATTATAAAAATTTGGAATTTTTTGAAAAAAATTGGATGTTTTTTTTAACTTGTAGTTAAAAATCATAATATCTTTATAATTTGGCAATATATAGATTAAACTTACAAGAAAGAAAATCCAGAAAAGATCAAAGTGGTTCTCAAACTTTTGGCAAACAAATATATTTTTTTTAAATTTCCAAAGTAAAATAACTCGGTTATTTTGGACTTATTTGAGAAACTGTAAAGAGAAAATATGTTTCTTTTCTGACTCACCTTGTATAATATCAGATTTTTGTCTTTTTTGTGAAATAATCGCAATTTCACAATACAACATATTTTAACTGAAAATTCTACTACTTTTTCATCATTTACATTCTAAAGTACTACCAAAATATTTACCTTTTTTTCTCAAATCCAAAATTTCACGACATATGTTAAAACCCGTCTCAATCCAAACCGGTAACAATCACCAAAAAATCACCACATTCAAAACATATTTCAACTGAAAATTCTGCCACTTTTTCTTTCTTCTTCCACTCCGGCGGCACTTGTGACGTCACAGCGTCGGGACGCCGGCCACGTGCGTCGCGCTATGTTAACTTAAATCCGACGTAATCGCAGCAGACGCCGAAGACGTCGTTTTGGCGGCACACTAGCTCGACCTGCGAAGAACGATTGGCTGCTGAGATTGCCAGACGGCCGTCTCTGCTGCTACTGCTGCTGCTGCTAGCTGGGTGACTAGTTCAGTGCAGTGCAGGAGGAGTGAAAGGTCGTAGCAGTGGCGTAGAAAGAGTTTGGGAAAAGTAGGGTGATATACATAATATAAGAGAATATAGTGCCATAGTGCAGGTACTGCATTAATTCTAGACCCAATATTGAAGGATCGATTACGGGTGAGTCTGAAATAAGTGCAAATATTTTCAGGGCTGGTAGATCTCCATAAAAGAAGCCATTATTTTCCAAAATAACCTAGTTATTCGATTTAGTTAAGTTGGTAATATAAGAGGTTAAGAAATTATACCGTAGGAAAATTTTCGGTGAACACGCAGTTCTGGAAAGTTTTACTTTTAGTTTTTCTTTAAAATATGCAGGAAAATTTAAAATAAAATGCACGATTTTCAACATCTTTTGCGTCAAAAATGCGAAAAAATCTCATTAACGTATTCCTGGGATCGAAATATATCACCCTAAAAAGATTTGCACTTATTTAATACTCACTTTGTATAATATAAATACGGTATTATCGAATAAAAACGGCGTCCAGTTGGTTTTGAAATGACGATCGATAACATTTCCCATATAAATTTACATATAAAATGACAGCGATCTTCATTTCATAGCCATCGCTGTCGTCGTTTTTATTCGATCATACGGTACATTTCCACATAAATCTATCTTTGGGTTGGCAGAAGTTTTCTGAGCTCACTTTAATTGGACATTTCCAAGTCATATGTCTGAAATTCAGGTTAAAGACATTTAAATAAAACCAGTGAAATAGATTCGATCACCAGCTCTCAATAAAACAAAAAGTAATCGATGACCGATATATGCGCCATTCGACCAATAGGAAAGTAGTACTTTGACGCAAACGCATTACTTCCATCTCCTAAGCAAGGACGAACCATACAAACTCAATTTTCTCTCCTTCAATACATATTGAGAACATAGATTTTCCAGTTGTTTTACAGGGTGTCCTAGAAATAAGTGCAAGTATTTTTACTGATAATATAATTCAACCCTAGAAACATGCCTATGAGTTTTTTTTCGGGGAATTTTTTTTTTAAATTCAACATTTTTTGGAATTTTTTTTAGTTTTTAGTTTAAACACATAATTTCTTGATAATATGGCAACATAGGTATTAGATTAAATTTACAAGAAAGAAAACCCAGAAAAAATCCGATGGTTCTCAAAATTTTAGCAAAAAATATTTTTTTTTTGCAAATTTTCAAAGTAAAATAACTCCGTTATTTTGGACTTATTTGAAAAACGATAAAGAGAAAATATGTTTCTTTTATCGAGATCTACCACCCCTATACTTGCATATATTTCTGGGACACTCTGTATAGGAAGGTGGCAGTAGAATTCCTTTGTTGTCTATTTTTTTTATATTATTTCTATGATTGACTGAAGAGAGACAGCGATAGTTGTTGGCATGACCACGCATGACGCTGGCTTTTCCAGAGCTGATTTGTAAGTACTTTACTTCAAGGTATCCAAGATAATATACAGGGTGATCCGAATTGTATTCAGATTAAACCTTCAGATTAAATCCATTCATTTCCCATCTCGTTTTGTTAGTCTCAAATTATTATGGAAAACGAATATAAATATGGTCAAAAAATTAATCATATTAGTTAATTTTTGGTTTGTTTTGATGCGTACTGAACATCGGGATCAAAATCAGAATAATTAACTATTTGAATCATTGTGGTAATCGCTCCGTATACAGGGTGGTCCGAAATATATTCGGGAAGTTTTTTGGAATGAGAAATTTGATTTAGATGTCAATATAACTGTTTTGAAGAATATAAATTTTCGACCGTACCTGTCTAAAACTGAGTGAAAAAATATACATTTCCGTCGTATTGTACGTAGAAAAGGTCTCTTCATAAAAATCGCTACAAATAACGGTTCTCAAGATATTTGGAATAAAAATAGTCAGTACATGTCATCATTGACGAAAATTACGCATATTAACTACAATAGTTAGTTATTAGACTCAAATAATAAATTTGACATTATGGTTAATATAAAAAAAAAAAAGTTCTTAAATTTATCAATTTAGCCAAGTATTTATCTAGTCAACATGTTTATTTTTTGACATGTATTGATTATTTCCATTTCAAATATCTTGAGAACGGTTACTCGTAGCGATTTTTATCATGATACCTTTTTTACGTACAAAGATTTATTACTCTTCAATACAGTTAAAGAACCTACAGCGCCCCCTACAAGTACGAATCATATTTCGGACCACCCGGTATACAGAGTGATTACCACAATGATTGAAATAGTTATTCTGATTTTGATCCCGTTGTTCGGTAATTTTGGTACACAAGTATTCATTAGCGTGAAAAAAAAATTAAATAATATGGTTCATTTTTGACGATATGTATTTAAATTCGTTTTCCATAATAATGTGAAACTAAGAAAACGAGATCAGAAATGAATGAATTTAATCTGAAGGTTGAAGGTTTTATAATTTTTTGGTAATTACGGAATAATAAAACGCATATATTAAGTTATCATAAACTAGTTTCATTCCAAAAAAATATTTGTTAAAAGTTATCCAATAAATTAATTCAAAATTAGTAATAAGAAGTTCTTCTACATATTTTTATAAATTTAAAAGATAAAATGTACAAAATGTACATATATAGGTACATTTGTAAATGTATGTATGTGTAAATGTATGTATATAAGCTTATTATATCAATATTTGTTACTTCTTGGTTAACAGTTATTTGGAAATCGTCCAACTATACGTTTCTAACATTTAATAAATAATTTAACGATGCTTAAAATTGCATTTATGTATTGATTAAAAGTTACTTGGATGATTACGTTCAATTTATAACTTTAATTTGAACGAAGAGATGAAAATATTCTGTGATTATGCTGAACTGAATATTTCTTTTCTATGCTGAACACTATAGTATTAAAAAATAGTTTTTTTTACATTGAAAAATATGTCGATTTCCCCAATAACTGAGTCAAAACTTTCAAGAAAATAAAATAGCCAAAATAATTAATGTCGAAATTTTCAACGAATAATTAGTAAACACTCAAAAAATGCTTGAAAAAAAAATAAAAGCTACTAAAAATAAGACAGTAAAAGTAAAACCAGTAGAATAAGTAACAACTGAAAAAGGTAAACAGAAAATGATAGGCAGTATAGAAACAAATTTACAAAAAAAAGTTCAGGATAAGAATGAAATAGAACGACAAGTAACAGAATGGGAAGAATAAGCACTATAAAAGGCCGAGGGAATTAGGTTATCAACATTTATATATAAAAAATATAAAAAAACCTTTATAAAAAAAATTGTATGTGCACTATGTGCGCATATTTGAAGTGAAAGTTCTTCTTACTTCCGTCTGTCTGTCCAGGGGCGGATACAGGAAATTATTTTTGGGGGGGCCCAAAATAAAAAGCAATGTAGAATATGCTTTTTAGGGCGCCATTTTTAACCCAAAAGCATAATATTTTACACAGTTTACAGATTTTAGGGGGGACCAGGCCCCATGGGCCTGCCCCCTCTGTATCCGCCACTGTGTCTCTCTGTCCGTTTGCCCGTTTTCTACTTCTGAGCACCCCATTCGGCTACATCTATCCGCGTACCTACTTTGGTTCCAATCGACCCATAATTAAGAGACAAATCCTGATGATTTCGTCCATTTAAAGGCATCTGTTCGAAACGTCGAGGGCGTGATCTTGTAGCTCGTCCCTAATTATGCCGAAATCAACCCACATTTTCTTCAATATCAAATCGTTAGTCCTACCCTGATGAAGATGTAAACGAAACGTCTTTGCTTGTTGGACCATGTGCACCCTCGCTCACATAGCCTACCAACCAAATTTGACTCCCCGACATCAACTTTTGACGTTTCTTACGTCAAAACTAACTGTCACAGTGACACGTGTTGTACACGGTTATGATGGCCTTGGTCCAATCTATCGACTTACCAAATTTCATTTAAATCGGACGATTTTTTGATTTGATTCATTGATGATGGGTTTCGTAGAGCACGAAACTTCGTCAAAATATCATGAAAAGATGGGTGTCGTCTTTGAGTGTCGTCTACATTCCGAGTTTCAGCTCCCTAGTTCACATAGGGCACAAGTTAGGACGCTCCAAGATCGATACCATTTTTGTGACGCTTGGCGACCTTGGCGTGACGCTTCGCGTAGCGCTAGCTCGTGTGTCGCGGCCTTGAATTTTACTCCCATCGCGCGTAAAGAAGTTTCACTTCTTCAATGTCATTTTATTCCATGCTTTCCATGGAGTCTTTTTCACTCGATCACAATGGTGAATTACATATCTCCAAAAAAAATTGCTCTGAGTGGGGAATCTCTACAAAATTAAAAACGTTTTTAATTTACGAAGTTTAGTATTTTTCACTCTGTCGAAACAAGGCTGAAACTCCCATCAGAGAGGAGCACGCAATCAAGACACAGAAAGGGTTACGCCAAGGTAGAGGTCAGATCAAAAGGTGAAAGATCTGCTAGGCTGGAAATTAGATTGATGTCTTGCTAGATTATCGAATAATAGCCGTACTGTTATTAATTCAGCGAAATCTGACAGCGCAAAGAACTTTACCTTTTACCAGTGCCGTATCATTTTTTTGCTTCACCCTAAAAATCATTTAAATAAAACTTACCCAAATTCACGTAAAGTTCAGGTATTCTTGTATAATTGTAAAAATATAATTAATATTTTTAAAGAGTTGTAGTGTTACACTATTACTCTGAGGTTAAAGATGAATAATACATTGTTAATCTAAGAATAATTCTTATGACAAAAGTACCTAACCACGGTACTGATTTATCGGTAGATACTTTCCCAAACAGGTCAGTGTGACTCAAAAAGTACATAACGTTTCGTACCATTGATATTTCTGTATTGATTAAATATGCGTCAGACTGACTGACATCAGACTCTTTTACATTGAACGTATTAGTAGTTGTTTAT